CGACCTTCGTCATCGTTCAAGTTGCTTTCGCGGTCGCGCTTGCTGGCCTTCCGCTCCAGTTCATCCCAATCCTCGCCCTCGTCATCGCTGTCAATATCGGCCTCTTCATCATCATCGCTAGCGTTGCTACCGAAGTCAGAGTCCTCTTCGCTGGACTCTGATACCTCATCCATCTCATCATCATCCATCTCAAAAGCAGATTCTTCGTCGGACTCATCCTCGGCGCCAGAATCGTCCGAGTCAGCCTGCAAGAACGACCAACCGCCATCAACGAAGAACTGGTGGGTATCTTGGTTGACAGTCTTCATAATGGTCGGCCAGTTGAGGTTAAGGGGACCCTCCGTATAGGCAATGTCGGAAGAGTCCAAGAAATCCTTGACTTGATCGAGGAATTCAACAGGAATAGTGTTTATGTGATACGGGGCACGCGTAAAGTCTTTGAAAACGAATACCATGTCAAAGTTCTTCAGACCGAACTGGACACGCTCCAGGTGAGCGACTTCAATATCTTCAATCGTGATGACCATGAATGGTGGCTCCACAACTTGGATCAGGCAGTCCGTAGTCGGTTGGATGAAGACGTTACTGCGGAAGGGCACACCGTTGAATCCGAGGTCTCGGATGGGCATATCAACCTCAATGTTCTCGCTACGGCCGGCCTCGGCAATCTTCTGAGCAAAGCCCTGGAATAGCCTATCCAGTTCGGCACGGCGGCGGCGCTCTTCTTGTTCGGCCTCAAACTCGTCTTCATCTCCATAGCGGTACTTCCGTTTTCTATTTCCAGTCTCGTCAAACTGAATGTCAGTCGCTTCACGGTAAAATTGCACGTCCTTCGTCTTCTTCTTGTTGCCCACGATGATGGGGTCTTTTAGATGAATGTGGATAATGACAATCAACTCATGCTGACAAGGTTGGAAGAAGAGGTGCTTGACATTTGAGAAGAGAATGTCCACGCGGTGCTGAGCGTTGAGAGGGGACTGGTATCGGATACCGTTCTGGTGTATCTCGACTTTTCCAGGCACTCTTTTGCCCTCCATAGCTGGTCGGATATATACGTTATCCAAAACAGCCGGGCGACGATCTTGATAGTAGTTAGTATTATCCATGCTGAAGCATACGTTAAGCTGAATGTGGACTTACTTCTTATTTCCGCCAACTTGTCCTGTTCCACGACATCTTCCATATCTTTCTTCTCCTGCTCTTTCTTCACCACGTCGCGCTTCAGGTTAGAGATCTGAGTAGCTATCTCACTATATCTCTCGCCATCGAGCGATCGGAACGTCAAGCTACGGACGAAATGGGCGGATGCGTCTTCAAAAGGCTGGTCGTCTTTTCTGCCAACACCCTGGCCGGGCGACAGGAAGTTGATTCGCAGAAATGCAAATTCTCCCTCATCGCTCTTGCTAGCATTCTTGATAGTGTTGATATGAAATGGAACAGGTCTTCCCATGATAGGAAGAACGACAGTGCTGTTCTTTGAGTCAACAACAATCTCAAGGTTCTTGATCTTCAATGGGAACTGGTTATCCCGCTTATATGATTCAAAACGCTTGAACTTTTTGACCTCTCCTCCATTCTGACCGCTAGTAGATTCAGAGAATCTAGCCAGGCCCTCCTTCTGTTTCTTGGAAGCAAGTTCTTTCTGATGCTCTCGACGCTTCTTGTCCGCATCTTCGTCTGTTTGTGTAGTACGCTCGGAACGAAGTCGGGTGCTGGTGATGTTCTTTGTTGCGACAGCTCCGACTCTTGAGTCTCTCTTCTCCTTCTTTGGCGTGGGCTCTGCCTCCTCATCATCTTTAAAGAAGAATGAGTTGGCATCGGCGCTTGTCGGCGCCTCGGATGTGAAGACCACCGGCTCTCCAGATGTCACTCGAATGGTATCGGTAAGAACAAGTGAGTAAGTTTTACTGTTCTTGTCCTGAGGCTGGGGGTTCTCAATGTCCTGGAAGCCAGTGTTGATGATCAAAGTCATTCCGTCCTTGAGAACTCGCTGATTCTTGGCATTTAGTGTGAGGGTAGGATCCCTGTTTTCCAGCCCAACTCCCCAGCCAACGTTCTTTAGGAAATGCTTCTCCATTTCTGGTTTCTTGCTCTTGATGACAGCCAGTGCCTTTGCGTAGACATCCTTTGCCGCCATGCCATCGCGGATTTCCTTGATGATGGTGTTGTGAACCATGTAGAGGAGCTTGTAGTTGCTTTCCTGGGATTTGTTGGGATCTACCAGGTAGGTACGTGCAATCGTTGAGCAGTATGACTTGTATCGCAGGCCAAGAGCAGCAATGATGATACCAGCATGCAGGTTATCATCATTGGGGTCAGCAGCAAATCGTAAGTCGTATTTGCCACCGCTCTGAATCGAGGGTCCCAGAATCCAATCCAGCTGAGTGGGATCGAGGTCTGAAGGCAGCTTGCCTTTGCTAGGAAGCTCGACAGTCTTCCAGAAATTATTGTCATCGAGTTTTTTATCAACTTTATCGGCCAGCACAGAGTGTTTAACTTTCTTCTCGGCATCGAGAATATTAGACATTTCGTCGAGGAAATAGGGAGTCATGAGGGCCACGCAAGCTTTGGACGCTGTTCGCATCGCTCGTAGTTCGCTTTCGTCTTTGATAGAGAAGGCGTGGGTGGACAGGGCGGTAGAAATGTCGACCTCCTCGATATCTTTGCACTGTTCGCTGAATACCTTCTTCCACTCGTCGACGAACGGTCCCTTGGACGTATCTTTGGAGATGATTCCAACTTTCTTCTGTTGTAACAATTGAGTTAGTTTTTAGCTACCAAAACTTCACCCCCAAAAAGGAAGATTTTGTAGATATTCAAGATAGGTATCCAAGGTAGCTTACCCCCGCTTCCTTGATCTTGTCTGCCACAGTGACAAACAGCTTCTCATTTTCGGCTGCGTCTTTGCCTCGCACAAGCACCTCAATAGGGAAACGGCCGCCCTTGAGCTGGTCAAGATGTTTGGCTGCCTAAGCCGTTAGTATCTAGATAGTCACAATGCAGCGCAGGCTGGTTGGCGATTTACGCACCCTTCTTCGCAGTGGTGAGGATGTAGAGGGTGTCGACAGTGAACAGCATCAGCGTCGTCGGAAACTCGTATCCCAAAAGCCAAAACTGAGAGCAAGAGGTAATTAGTTTTCACAGTCCGATTGTAGCGATCTTGATGCGCAGATCAGCACTTACGTGCACGGCGTTGTTCTTGTGGAATTCGGGAACCTCCTCGACCTTGCCCATCATGATAACGAAGGACGAGGCTCCGCCAAAGAGGCCATCTTTGGAGCGGAGATCATTCTTCCAGGCAGTGATGAAGTGCGAGAGGCGCTCCTGGAAGAGCTTGCTATCGATCTTGATCTCCGCCATTGTGGTTAATAGACGAGCATTTGGCAGGAGAGGGAGCTATTGCATGGACGACGGGCACTACGCGAAGGAAAAGTGAATGTCGCGTAAATGGGCCCGAAGCAGCTGCAGCAACGGGTCACGTGATCGTGCGCGTCTGAGATCTTGCACGCTACTACATGTAACTACATGTACCTAGGGCGCTCCTGGAGCTGCATACATGTACTACCTAAGGTATATACAGGCCCGCAGTATTTCAAGATGGTTAATCGTTGTGTACCTCAGCTTTTGATATATAGCACATGCTTCTGAATTTCCAATTTTGTCCCTACTAATTTGGGCATTGCCTCCATGTATGCAACTGCTTTGAATATTGTCGGTTCTGCCTAAATTAGGTACACTCAAGTAATACTGTAAGGTACTTTAGGTAGACGCAAGGTACCCATTAGTTTGACATCAAGTAGAAGAGGTCTTATTACCTGCATGTGCCCTCGCCTTTCAATCCAGTATATACTAGACTAGATGCTATCATAGTAGGAGTAGGACTTATTTCCTCAGCACCTTGCCCATATAAGCTGGTGAGAGATATCACGCTTACATGTACCCCCTCATTCAGGTGCGATATCCTCGCTAATGAGTCAAGGGTGTCATCGGTCTTATCATGGAGGGCCTCCAGCTAGTGGCACTAAAGCCTCCTATACACAGTGTCTTATGCATGTATTAAAGAAGTAGCTGGTGTAGCGTGCTCGCATTCTGTTGCATACGTTACTTTACTTACCTTATATAGCGAATGCGGCTCTGCGGCTCTTCTGCACCACTCACATCTGATAGGACAGGAGCATTCCGGCCCTCAAATCGATACCACACCATAGCTCCTATAAATCCTAGCAAAAAGCGTTTTCAACCAAGTTACTAATGCTTTACGTCCAACTTAAACATAGCCCCTCGCGCCTCGTATTAAGCTGAAAATGGAGGCTCTAAATCCCCAGCCGCCTGGAATGCACAGGCACTTGCTCTGTACTCCTCCAGCCGCCATAGCCCGCCATGACTTCCCTCACCGATTTAGCATCCATTTAGCCTCACCCCTACTCAGCATATCTATTTATGATTCAGTCTACGCGGAATTACGCGACCATTCACATACTGTTTGAGACAGGGGTGTATGTTAGACTATGTCACTTATCCCTGCTGAAAATGCGGCTCTCGAGAGATGGATGTAACCACCAACCTAAGACCCGCCTGCTGCCCACATGAGGCTCTTCTTCCTGTGTTCCCCATAATCCCCTACATACGAGCCTTTCTTAAAAGCCCATGCTTACCGACGGTTTCAGCAGCACACTTCACGAATGAGATTTCAACACGATCTCATTTATATACGTGTATACCCAAACATCAAGAAGCGCTGTCTAATGGCTAGTGACTGAGTCCACAATCACCTCTTGAGGCTCTTGGACAGTCCCAGGGAATAATCGGATGGAATGTCGAATTTATGCACAGAGTATTCGAGACAACAACGGGCCGGGACGCCACTGGAAAAGGAGGAGCATATGCCACCCTTGGCTGTAATTGCCAGCGAGGAAACCACTCGCCAAATTGCTCATTACCACCCTGCTCCTGCGTTCTCTTCCTCTGGACCATTTTATCTTTTTCCATAAACCGCAGCCATGAGTCTCTGCCAGGTACCTTCTGAAATCCTTCGTCTCATCATCGAAAATCTAGATCCAGATGATTTGCTTCAACTGGCTTCAACTAGCCGCCATTTCAAGCATATTATCCATGATAAGTTCATCTCCCGAAAGGTTCTGGAGGTTAGTTATTACGACATTTTTTCAGCGTCATCCTTTTTTTTTGGTCTTCATACCAAGCTGGATATCATACTGACTTTATCTGGAGAGTATCCCTTTCTCCTTGGATTATAAAGAAGGCCGTAAGACTGGAGATTACGACAAAGCACTAAGAAAGCGTGTCAAGCGACGCAACGCTCTTCGTATGGCAAAGCCGTTTCATATTTTGGAAGTCTCTAGCGAAGCTGTTCATTTTACCTATGCCAATGGCGCTCTATGTTATACTACGAAGCAAACCTCGCCTGGTCACGAGCATCGATTGCGGGTTTTGCTTCTTCAAGGCTCTCCTGTCCAGGAAATAAACATCAGCGTTCTTCAGCTAATATGCGATTCCGATATTTCTGATTTTGATGAAAATCGACCTTACCAGTTTAAACCACTGTATCACGCGGATGGCATTGTTTCATGTTTATACGAACAAAGAAAACCTCCATCTCGTGGTCGCTGGTTGATTATATATAGCATTGAGAAGGGAAAGATTCTTCAATCTAAGCGCTTGTGTTCAACTGCGAATATTTTTGTCCGCAACAACCATCGTTATCTTTACTACGGTACAAAGTCGGAACCATTTGACGGCCAGCGACGATGGGTGCTCCACGGATTCTCCCTAGAAAAATCCGAATGGCTGCCCCGGAGGGTTATACTCTGGGATTTAGCTGGTTCTGATATTGGGTCGACGGTGTGCTTTGAGATTTTTGATGACCATCTATATGGCGTTTCTAGCCAGGAGCTGACGGAATTGGAGGATACCGAATGGACCGCACCGGGACACCCGCTGAATTCGTTTTATTATGCCTTTCGGTTCCGTTTAGGAGATCATTCTACAGTTGAAATCTTACCAAGATCTGCACTATGGCGGCGAGGTGCAACTGATGGGCCAATCGACGATCGCTGGAATCATCTCCAACTTGGGCAGGACGAAAAGTCCGGCCAGATATCCGTTTTTGAAACCAGAAAGGAATGGCTCTGTTCGTGGAGCCGACGTAGCTGTTATGGCAAACAGCTCCTTTTCCCCGCCAAATCTCACAGCGGAGGTTCAAAAACCGACGACCAGTGTTACGAAGGTTGGAACGATACGGCCCATCATGAAACGAGCCTCGAGGACACTGTACATCGGGGCGACAATGGTTTCTCCTCTTTGACTTTTGATCTCCGCAATTCTCCTGTTCGCTCTTACAGCCCCAGCTGCCAAGCCTTTGTGGACATTGTTAGTACTACCACAACCTCGACTGTAGCTACTAAACGCTTACGACTACGGGTGAGGAGACGGTTGGACCCAGCTTCGGAATCGGACCGTTCTTCATCGTCACCGAACGACACTACCGACCCTGCAAATACTTTGGATGATGAGGAAATTAGTTTTTGGCCAGCGGACCGGGGGAACATGCCATCAGATGGATCCCCGGACTCCCCTCTCGACCGCTACATTGACGGACTCCTTAACCCCCAGGCGTATTTCGATGAAGTCGAATGGGCAACGGATGAAAGGGTGGTGGTTTATTCTCCCAAAACTCTAAATCAGCTTAACGAGCCACGATCAGTCGTTTTGATTTCTTTTGATCCCGCTCTAAATTTTGAGGGGCTGTGTTGTTGGGACGAATACTTGATGTCACCGCATAACCGCTCTGGCAAATCGGATTTTCATGCGGAATGTATAATAAATACCGCTATGATGAATCCGGAATCGACGACATGCGGAACTCCAAGGGTCCACGGTCTAGATTTATCGCATACTATCAGATCCCAAGACTCTACCCGAAAGCGAAAGAGGCTCTCCACCAGCTTACCGAACGGTCACCGGCCTGCTGGATTCAAGTTTACCGAAACAAATGCGACCCGAACATACTTCAGATGACTTAAAAATCAAGAGCCCAAAGTGAGCTATCATTATGTGCCCTGCGCAGCACGGGCGCAACGCAAATGTTGGCAGCACATCCAGCGGCTCTTTTGGTTGTTGATTTCACCACAACTGGCATATTTCAACCATCAAGCCTTTTTCTAAGGACACATGGCAGAGCTACTCTTGCGGCATTTTCCTCATGCATGAAAAATAAACTGAATGCATATTGATTTTCGCGGAAACGCCGTGCATCCAATCTAATGTTATTGGATTGTATAGCGTGGTTGTTATGCACGGCTGTCGATGCGGTTACACACGGGTAAACAAAGAGACAAGTCAACCAACCAAAGTCAAGTATAGAATATATGTATATATATATATATATACATATAGTATTAAAAAAAAAATCAAAAAAATCATGAAGAGGCGCCATCCCGACTGGACAGCCTTTCAGCTCTATCGGCAGTCGTCTACCCGGCACGCTCCTTTGTCTTATCATCGCTCACCATTTCATTTACGTCACCACTACTACTGCACGATGCATCACTATATGTACTCTTTCATTTGTCATTTTCTCTCAGGTAAACTATCACATGCTCGACAGCTACATGAAGCGCATGCACGTATGCTGTGCGTTGTTGCCTCCAACGTGGCCGATTTTGGGTCACTTGTTTATACTACTGGCCTACCACATACTTTCTACATACGAGTATTACTGTACATAAGAATACTAGATACTTTAATTCTTAATCTCTTTGGTAGTTTAATGGGAGCTGAATCTGCTGCTTATTGCATGGCGTGTCACATTTTCATTCGTACATTTGTCAATCCCGATAATTCCCTCTGAAAGTGAATGGTAGCCTCCTTTTTTTCTTGGTCAGTGATGCAACTGACGTGAGAATACCATATTGTGCAACTCCAAGAGAGTCAAATGCGTCATATGATGATGTGGTATTGTCTTGGATGGTAACATATCACAAAGTACTGACTAGTGCTAGACTAGTAATATCTGTTAAACAGCATCAATCGTCATCGTGGGATTATCACCGCTTTATTTTCGCTTTAATCCTGATTATCGAAGTACACTATAGATGTATGTAGGCTAACCTATTGATTCCCCGGTATGCTCTAATTAAAGCTAGGAAAAAAAAAGACTGAAATTGGTCGAAAGATTCTTCTACTTCTTCTTCGTTATCTCACTTCCCCATCCTTTCCTTGCGCCTATCAGCTAATACCAGTTATCCCCTTCTTCGTTTTTTGCTCTTTTTCTAATTCAGCTGGACATAATTTCCTGATAAAAAAAAAGTTCGTTAGACTCCGATGTGATACTGAAAATCATAATGTTCTTAAAAGCAAGAGAGAACATACCTGGAAACTGTCCCTGCTTTCCGTTTATTCTCCCTGTCCACCACTCATTCTCGTTCTTAGTTCGCTGTACAATCTCAATAACGTCGCCCGCCTGGAAGCTCAAATCACCGTCTGCTTGCGCCGCATAGTCGTACAGTGCTGTCACCGTCTCGGGCGGCGGGGCTCCGCTTAGACGGCCTGGCTTGGGCTTTGGTGGTGGCGGAGGCTTCGCCTTGGAAGCAACAACCGCTGAGAGGTTTGCTCCACCAGGCTTTGTAGCTGTGCTATATGGCGGCGGCGCCGCTTCACCTGGATCTTCCGCGTGAAAACTGCCAAACTTGGGACTCGTCTTCTCTGGCGTCACAGAACCTGCGGTGAGCAATCCCTGAGGCTTGCTGGCCTCAATGGTGGGGCGGGCGCCATGCTTGGGGGGTGGCCGTCGTTGTCCGGTCGTCTTGAATTTCACGATGGATAGGGCTTCAGCTTGCTCTTGGGCATCTCCTCGCTTCTCCTCGAAAGCTTCCTCAATATCCCTGGTCAGGTCAAAGTATCCAATATCGCACCGCTGCATTCGCTCGTGTAGTGTATAGAAAATGTTGAGCTGCATGTAGTAGAAAGACTGGAAGAGCGGCTTGATGAACTCTTGCTCCAGCAGGAAAAGCTTCGGCAGCTCATCTTTCAGCAGGTTGTTGTAGTATTCAAAATCTTGCGTGGCTTGCTCGACTTCACCCTCAGCCTTCCACATTGCCTTTTCATCCTTGGCGGAGCGATCCTTCTTATCCTGCAGCTTCTTGAGAGTAGCACGGTGTCGATCGTAGTCGAGTTGCTTGTGATCTCGCTTCAGTGCAGTCTTCCGAATGACCTTGATGACATCTAGCAGCTCGTTGGCAGGCCGGATCACCCTGGTCTCTATCGTTTCTAACTCCGGCGCCAGAGTCTCCTGCAGCTCCTGAACCACAGCCTCGTACTCCTCGCAAGCCGCGATACCCTCTGGGTTGCCCTCGGGCTTTATGGAGTCGGGGTCGGACACACGCCCGGAGATGGGCTTGTAGACTTCGGTCATTGCTTTGCTAAATTCAATCTGGTGGGAGAGCATGCCATTGATGGCCTCGAAGTATTTCTTGGACTCATCGTGGAGCTTCTTCGTCTCCTTTTCCAACTCCTGAAAGCGTCGCTCGGCGTCGATGTATACTGCGTCTTTCGTGTGCTCGCCGATGTTGAACTTGGACTTGAATTGTTGCGGCGCCTACATTGCAAGCCCAGGTTAGCCATTGCATCGCATCGCAGCCGCATCTCCTGCGGAGGTTTTTTTTTTTTTTTTTCTTGTTGCTTCTCCCAGTTTCGGAGGGGCGGCTTTCTGCTGCAGCCGCGTGAGGTGAGGGGCAGGGGGAAACCAGAAGGAATATTTACCCTAATAAGGCTCTTCTGGAAGCCTTTGAAACTCATGGTGAAGAGGGTTTAGCGGGATATGTGTATGATGTAGAGAGAAGAAGAAGCAGAAGCCCTGGAGGCGACGTGAAGCAAAGTCCGCGCGCAAAAGCACCGGCGATCCGGGAGACGGACAGGTGCCTCGCAAGCTGGGCTGGAGGTCAGCGGCCAAAGTCTAAGTTAATGTGTGCAGGCGGACAGTGACGACTTCCGTGGCTGTGTCGGCGCAGTTGGTTTGTGGCGCAGCGGATATTCGGGTCGCTGGCAGAGCCCTTTTGACGCCGGAATTGGCCACTAAGCCGCCGAGCTGGGTTCCTGGTCTGGCCTGCGCGCTCCGCCGGATGACGTCTGGCCGTCTGTTTGGTAGTCTGTAGCAGCTGGGCGCCGAGCTTGGCAGGCAACGTTAGAGATCAATGATGATTACATAGCAGCTACGCCGTCATCCCAGCACTGCACCTTAAGCGCCCCAAGCAAAGGGCGGAAAAGCAGGGAATAGCAAATCGTTGAGCTCATTGGAGCAATATTGAGATTCTACCACGTCCAAAATCCGCAATTGGCTAATGTGATGCGCCATTGGTGGTCTGCGCTCTGATATTTCTGCCGTCCGTCCGCTGGGCGCCGCATTAGACTAACGGGTCTCGAAGCCCATGGATGGCGCTGCAAATACGGAGTACAGTACGTGTATTTACAGCCTCGCTCACGTAAACGCGTCAAAGCGTCTTGGACCTCTACAGCGACAACCAAGCTGATCACCACCACCGCTATTCAAATCCCATATTTCAACACAAATCAGAATCCATCTTATCCCAAATAAAACAATACAGATTTCACCACTATACCCATCGCTAATAATCGACCGCGATGGCACCGCCCACAGAATCTGATATCCTCACAAACTACCTCCTCCAGCCGGCTCCCCTGCCTTCCATAACCACCTTTAACCAATTCGCGCTGCTATTTCCTCGGGCACTGCACAATTCGCCTCAGCTGCGGTCTCTATACCGTGATCTGCAGGCCCAGCGCAATGTGGTGGTTGATGCTGTTGCCGCGAGCATACAGGATGAGGTGAAGCGCGGAGCGGCTATGAGAAAGGAGGTTTTGCGGCAGAAGAGGGAGGCAGAGAGAGATGATATGGACGGAGAGGTGGAGATGGAGAGAGCGGTAAGTTTCATGCATATATGCATTTTATTGCTTTTATCCTGTCTTTCTTTGCAGCCAGCAGGGAGAGAAATATAAAGCTGCATTGTCACTTCGTACATCGGCGCTGAGGGTTTCATACTGACGAGAGAGTAGCTGTTTGGCCACAATTCTGGAGTAAAAAGGGCCGCACACAGCTTAAACTCTGTAATACCAGAACTCGAAGGCGCGGTTGGAACGCTCGACGCAGAAATCAAGAGGCTCGAAGAAGAAGAGGCTGCTCTCCAGGAATCCATTCAGCAGACCATTGGCGGCTTAAGCGATCTCCGTTACGGCAAACTGTCCAACGGCAATCTTCGCGATGACATTATTGACGGCTTGAAATCACTCCAAGAAACATGCGAGAGCAAGTCATGATTGAAAATTGGATTTTCCCATTTTTTTTCCGTCATAAAGCTACGTATCTCATACCCAAAAAGCCCTTAACCAACAGCCCTCATTTTGGTATCATTCATAAAAGATAAGCCTCCGGGGATTTATCCCCCTTTTCATGATATTGATATGCATCATTCCATCGAACGCTCTATGGCTTGATACTAAATATCCTACCCACGACAAATCATACAGACTTTTTACGAGCCACTTGATCATTTTCGTTGGGCGGCAGCAGGGGCTCCACGGGGAGCACCGCCGGGCTGTCGGTTTGGCTGCATGCGGTTGCCCCTAGATTGGCATTATTAGCTATGACCGCGAGAGCCACGGGGAGAACGGGGTTTCAAACTTACATAAAGCTTCGGCTAGCGAAAGAAACGAGCAGCATGAAGGCCCAGTTGGGGAGGAGGCCGAAAACCCACATAGCGTAGCCAAGAGGAGTGGCCAAGCCAAGCTCAACGGCCTTGCCATTAAAGGGGTGGAACCAAGAATCGAGGAGAACAAAGCTCTCCTTGTTTCCGGCCTCGTGCAGCTTGACAATGTCGTCAGAGGTGACGGTGGTCAGATTCAATCTCGTCTTGTAGATATCGATGGGGGCTGGCTCGGGAAGCATCTCGATAGCCCAGATGTTGCCAGGGTTGGCAGACCAAGCGTTGCAAAGGATGGGCTGGCTGTCACAGTTGACAAGGCCCATATGGGGAGTGTTTGGGAGCTCGGCAAACTTGGCGGCCGTCTCGTTGAAGGCAGCCTCAATTCGGCCACAGTGGCCTAGAGCAGGCAGAGTCAGCTGCTCAATTTATATCAATTGAGACAAATTTATGCTTAAAAGAACTTACCGAAGCATGTCTTGTTACCGCCGCTGAACAAAACATACCACTCCTCGGGCGTCTTTGAGCCGGGTGCCACAGGCTCGTAGAGCGTCTCCTTCCAGTTATCCAGGCTCAGGACAGACAGCTTCATAGGACCCGTCTTGGCCTCGTGAGCGCCAGCGGCATCATATGTGCCGGGAAGCGGCAGCTTAGAGCTGACCTGTCCCAGAATCTGCTGGAATTGGGCCACATACTGATCCAGAGGATTCTCTTGGGCGGCGGCGAGGGCGGGCAGAGCCGCGACAAGAGTAGCTGCGGAGAAGCGCATGGTGGTGCTTACTGTTGGGGGAATGCGGGGGAGACGTGAAAACCAACGCGATGAGACCCGGATTACAGAAGACGGAGGAGGCAGAGAGCAGTAGCAAGAATGGAAGAAGAGGAAAGAAAAGAAGGCTGGGCTACGGAATGCGAATCTAATCTAAAGCAAAGTTTGGAGAAATGTGCCGCTAGCTGCTGCCGAGGACCCTGAATAATCGAGTGCTCGGGTTCCTCCTCTTGATTTGTTGAGCTCACGGCGGGCTTCTGATGGCCAACAAAGCTGAGTCGTCAGTAGGCGGAGGCCTGGACGGGTCTGCGTTAGCGCAGCAGAAGCAGCAGAAGGATCGCCGAGCTCTTCCTTTTATCATGTGTCATCTGCGCCATATGGATGGATGAGTAGATGCATTGCGGAACAGGGGAGATGATTGGCCAGATGAAGAATACCAATGGCTGTAACGAGGCCTACGATCACTCTCATGTCATCAACCTACATGTGCCTAGGTAGGTATATATCATACTAAGGTGCCTGATGTGTGTCAGTGATGTCGATGGACCAGTAGATTCTACTCAATCAGGTGCTGAAAAAGACTGTCGCGGGGTTGCAGGCCGCTTAAAGCCGCTAAATTCTAGAAGGCCGCAGCGACGAGCCCCCGCTGGAGAAAGGTGCGTCATTGGACGACGACCGCTTGGAAGTCCGGCAAGCCCAGGTTTCAATTAGAGTTCGCGAGGGCTGCAGAAAGTGTGGACTCCAATGCCCGGCGCGATGCAGGCAGGAATCAGTAGTTTGAACAGCATCTTTTCTGTCTTGCCAGCCTAGTTTTGCAGGCTTGATTCGATTCACCTCGACTCTTCAGGCGCAAACATTATTTTTATCATGGTATTACTTGTTTCTCGCCTCTCTGTCACTTTCCCATCGTCGGAGCCGAATTGGCTAATTTAGTGATTTTTATCTACACAGGCGCCCAAAGCATCTATTCCAAAGCGCAAACGCGGTCGGCCGTCCAACGCGTCCAAGCTCGAAATCAACGCGTCGCAAGAGCGCAACGATGCCGCCGAAGCATACGAAACTGATGCGCCCGACCAGATGCGCCCGAAGAAGCGCGGCAGGCCAAGGAAAAGCGTAGGCTCGCCTGATGAGGAGCCTAGCCCAGCGCCAGAGGGTTCCAAACCTGCGAAGAAGAGAGGTCGACCATCAATGGGGAGTAAAGCAAGGGGTCTAAGTGCAGACCAAGACGAGGCGACGCCGCCTCAGCAAAAGCGAAAACGAGGACGCCCGTCGCTAAAGAACCGAGAGTACGAAGATGAACATACACTGCAGCAGAGTGGCGAAGAAACCGAATCACCAGCCAGTCGACAAGGGACCAGAAGAGGGAGAAACCACGCTGAGCAGGAGTCAGAAGAAGATCAGCTACAGAATGACACCCCAGTACCGGCTAAACGAAAAAGAGGTCGCCCCTCTCTGCAGGCTCGACGAGCGGAAGAAGAGGGAACTCCAGAACACGGCCCGACAAAGGGGAAGAAACAAGCATCGCAACGAAAACGGGGGCGCCCATCACTACGAGATATAGACGCCCCGAATGAGATTCAGCGCAAACCTAGCGCCAAAGGAAAGACGGTGGACGGTCCGTCGATTGCGGCACCGAGCAAACGCCAAGGCCGTCCTCCTGGAAGCACGAGAGCCTCAACTGGGGCAGCAGCGGAGGATGCCAGGAGATCCCCTGAGGCTGAAGTTGAGCCAGCAAAAGATACGTCTCTGTCAAAGAAGAAGAAGCGCCAGCCTCATCAAGACGCCAACGCCGATGTCGAAGACGAAGACGATGACGATGCTCCCCCTTCGCCTTCCAAGCCGTATCTCCACGTCTCACCTCACGTCCACCGAGTCCGTCAGTCCACCATCGAATCTAAATGGACCCCCTTACCGGACTCTACCATCTCAGCCGCTTCCTCAATGCTTCTCGTCGCTCACCGCCCCATCCTCCAACGCCTCTCCGGCAGCGAGCAGCGCCACGCTCACACCTCGGCCGCGCTCCGTCTCATCTCTCACCGCATCACCCGCAAGCTCTCAAAGGGCATACCCTTCCCTCCGGCAAGCATGCCTTCCGCTCGGGTGCCTCGTGGTGGTCGACAAATCAGCGCCGCCTCAGCGGCTGCTAATGTGATGGACGGGCGTGCCATTGAGCTTGACTTTGAGAGCGTTCTTGACGCAAAGCAGGCTCTGGAACGGCAACTGGATCCAGCGATCCACGCCGTCGAGCTGCTGACTCGCGAGAAAGAGAACCTGGAGAGGGAGCTGGAGCAGGACTATGAAGCGCTGCGGAATTTAGAATCGAGCGCAAAGGCCCAGGGAAGAGAGTATCGCGGCATGCTGAAAAAAGCACATGTCTTGGCGCCCACGCCCGAGCTTGTTCATGAGCGGCAGAAGCAAAAGGTCGAGCAGGACATATCTTTCAGCCACTCTAATAGCTCTGCCTCGGGGGGGCTCTTCAGTGTAAGTTTTTTTTTTTTTTTTTTTTTTTTTTTTTCTTGTGTCACTCTCACCTACGTTGTTGTTTGATGAGGATCGCTGACCGGGGGAATTCGGTATCATTGTAGGACCTCGAGGACCCAGAGCTTAAATCTTTAGCTCTCCAGCTCAGTGACCACATGGAAAGCATCAAAAACAACCTCCAGCAAACCGACGGCATCATTCCGCAGCTAGCCCGGAGTAAGGCCGCTTTGCAAGATATCTTGTTTAAACAGCTGGGCCAGGAGCAATATGAGCGCGTAGTGCTTGGGTGAAAAGAACGACGGACGAAGCAGCACAAATTTGAAAGCAACAACAAGGTATTATTTGTATTGGAGATGATTATTTGTTTATATAAAGGGCGGAGACAGGAGTTTGTTATTTCTCACAGGGGCTGAGCAAAGCATGCGTTGACTTTTCTAGATTTACCGAGTTGGTTTGTGTTACATATATCCCTATTGTCATGATTAAACGAACGGCGTATATGTGTCAAAGATGGGGTACGATTTACTTTAGCAGTATTAACAAAGAATATCAAATGGTTTTTTTTATTTTTTAGTTTCTTTTTATTTTTTTTATTCATCATGGCATTACATTCACGCAAATTAACAAAGTCGGATTATAAGCGTCACAAATCATTCAATTCAGAAAGAAAGAGATTGCTCTCAAGTCATTTCCTGACAGCCGTCTCAGACAGCCAATATAAATAACATATACACACACGAATGGTAAGTCTTTCAAAAATCAGCAACAACAAAGTAAGTACAAATCATCTGCCTCGCCGGATATATAAAACATCCAACCAAATAACCATGAAAAATCCAAAAAACACGTCTATCATGCAACGGCGCAGATGAGATTCTCATCTGCGCTGTGATATATACGTCTTTCCTTGCTCGAATCCCGTAAAACCGTATCCTTTTCCCCTCCTTTGTTTTTACAATACTCTTACAAGGCTTTTTTTAGTTCCCCCCAAAAAAGGAAATTGAACCCTTTATCGGCGGAGCTTGGCAAAGCCGGAAGAGGAAGGAAGGGCAGCGCCGCTGGTGGCAGCAGTGCCGTTGTTGATGGGGAAAGGCTGGACGGTGACGGTAGAGCGGATGGTGGTGGTGATATCAGTAGGGCAAGGAGTGGTGGTGGTGGCGGCAGCGTTGCCAGCACCGTTGTTGCCAGAACCGTTGCCCTGAGAACCGGAGCCGTTGTTGGAGCCAGAGCCGTTGTTGGAGCCAGAGCCGTTGTTGGAACCAGAGCTGCCGTTGCCGCTGGAGCCAGAGCCGCTGTTAGCAGCCTGGCCAGTGACGGCGGCGGCGGAGGAGGAGCCGCAAGAGCTGGGGACAACGGTGACGAAGACGGTGGAGGCAGGGACGGTGACGGTCTCCTTGGCGACGGTGACAGTGACGGTGGGAGCACCAGCGCAGTTGCCGGAGCCGTTGCCGTTGTTGGAGCCAGAGCCGGAAGAGCCAGAGCCGGAGCCACCGTTGGCGGGAGATCCGTTAGCAGGAGGAGCGTTGCCACCAGTGCTGGAACCAGAGCTGCCACTGCCGGTCTGAACGGGTTGGACTGTAATGTACGTCGTGTCAGTAGTGGTCGAGTGGAGGGTGGTGGTGGGCTCGGGGTTGGTCCTACCGTTGGCGAGGGTGCTGGTGACAGTGATGGTCTGACGGGTGGTGGCCTGGATGGTGGTGGTGAGCACGGAGGCGCTAGCTCCCTTGCCAATGGTCATGGTCAGGGTCTTGTCGGTGACAACATCGGAGAAGGTGACCTTTGCGCCGTTTCCACCAGCGGGGGGGTTGCCGCCAGCCTTGGCCGGGGTGGTCACGGCAGGGGCCGAGGCGGTGATGGTCGATCCAGTGATGAGGCCGGAGGAGTGGGCAGCCTGGAGGGAGGAGGAGATGCTGGAGGCCTGCTCAACGGGGCAGACGGTGGTGGCCAGCACAACGGTGTCGGTGACAACGACGGTGGTCCTGGCAGACTCGGGCAGGCTGCCGATGGCAGTCTGGTTGGTGCGAGCCGGGCAGTTGGTGACGGTGGGAGCACAGCTGATGATGGTGTGGACCGAGGTGGCGATGACGGTCAGCGTGGTGGGAGCAGCGGCGTTGTTGTCCACGGCAGAGGTGATGGTTCCGTTGGCTCTGGGGAAGTGCAGGTGGCGGATGGGCGAGCTGGCAGAGGCCAGGCCGGCGAGGAGGGTAGCAGCAACAGCGGACTTCATCTTGAAAAAAAGACTTGTGTGTGTGTGGTGATGTTTTTATTTGTTGTTTTTTTTTTGCTTCTTGCTCGGATAGAGACTGTAGGCGAAAATCAATCCCGCGTATATATAAAATGAGTGCTGGTGTAAGTCGACGTCAAGCCGAACTTGGTGTAAAAAAGACTGGCTTTTTTTTGTTGTTAAGGAGTGAACGTTAGCTGTCAAACAGACGAGCTGCAAAAAAATGCAAAGAGAGACAGAGCAAGATTTTTATTTGGTGACGAAGGAAAAGAAGAAGCAAGAAGAAGAGAGAGAGGGAAAAAGGACGAGTCAGGATCGGATGGATATCGAGCCTTTTTGTCGGAGAGCGGCACGGCCTCACTAGCTAACAAAAAAACATCATGAACATAAACGCCCCCCCCCTTCTACCACCAAGAAAGAAAAAAACGGCCCCATCCGAGCCCCTCCAGTCCCAGCAAACAGCATCAATTGATTTGCTGATTCCCTCACATCCCCCTCACTGCTGCTCCCATGTACCATGTACCGCCCCTTGATGGAGTCGCAAGCCGTGGATGGATGTCACCGACAGGCGGCTCCGAGCTCTGGCGCTAAGATTTGGCCGAAGAGGTGCTAGCGCCAGGGGCCGATGCAGGTACGCACAGCTCTGCTTCAGGGACCTGAGACGAGCCCAGAGCCAATCAGTTGGCCGTTGCCAAAAAGAGGCGCTTTTTGCCCTTTTGATGTTTCCGTTCTGTTTGGCCCGTGTTTGTCCTGTATATTGTATGCTTACTCGGTGCCTGGTGCTAGGCCAGCTCTAGTCGCACGCTCTGCTCAGCCTTGGCGCTGCTGCAATTTTGGAGTGGCTGTAAATCGACTCAGCCAGTTCAGCTCTCTCTCAACTCCCATGGATATACTCCGTAGTACACATCTCGCAGCCAGCCCTCATTTCACTCGGCCTCTTCCCGAATGGGACATGTAGGTAATATACTTGGCAAAGCTCCCGTAACCGATGGAACACACCGCAGAAACTCTAGAAGAGCAAGGAAAAGAAGAAACAAATAACGATGCAATCACAAATAAAGTGCCAAGCCCAATGCTCAAACCCCGGTCCCGAATCAAATTTCAGCCGCAAGCCCGTCCCATTGGCTCAAGCTTGCCTTCAAGGGCGGCCGCCGTAACCAAAACACCCAGCAGGGCCCTTAATTTTCGAGGAGCCCCAGCCAACATGCAAAAGTATGCGCGGCCTCACAGGCACAATGCGTTGATTTCTTCTTCTTTTCCCCCTTCCATTCTCATTTCCAAGTATTTTTTTTTTGTTTTTACTAATTTATATTACAATATCAGTGGTACAGTACTTAGCTGCTGCAGAACTATCCAATTTTATTCACTTTATCTCTCATTTCATTTCCATCTTACGGTACCTAGACTTCGCACGCTTGATACATACTGCACCGTTGTACTTTTTGTGTTGCCGTTTAATTCGCTCAACAGCGCCGTTGGTTTTGCATACATGACCTGATCTCAGCCATCTGCCCGCACGAGTTTGCGCGTGGGCCAAGCATCATGTTTGTTCTTGCTCTCGCCTGATACAGTCCGCCCCCTTGGATTGGATTGGGCAAAACCCCCGCAAGTCAAGACACCCCTCCGAACCCCTGCGGCCTGCGGTCTCGTTGTGAAACGACCAGCTGCTGACTGGGCTTGTTTTGGCTTGCCACCGAGAAACAGGCTCAGCCTGTTGGTTGTACAGCACTGTAGCACACAATCGCCGATAGTTGCGAGTTGCTCCATCTATTCGCTGAATGCTGGCTTCCTGGTACTGCATACTCCATACGTCGCGCAGCATCAGCCGCACCGTCAAGATCCGAACCGCTTTTCTCCGCAGGATTTGCGCTGTGCAGCGTCTGTGCCACTGGTGTTACTCCGTTATCTAATTGTCAACGAGGTTCCCCCTCCGCTGCTTTCTTCCTGTATACGGCATTTTTGCAAGGGTAGGCCCCGTCAACCTTATTCTCAAGAATCCGTTTGAGATAAGACAGACGAGAAACACAAGAGGCCCCTGCGTCAACTCCCTTGCTTCCAGCGTGCTGTTACCATCATACTGCTGGCCAATACACGTATAGTATTCACACTCTAGTCCCGCGTTAAGGCAAATTTTTGCTGTTGCTTTTTTTACTTTTTTTTCTCCTCTCTCGCTCTATCTTCCCGTCTTTTGCCATCGTGCACACGCCATCATGAGAAGGAAAAAAAAAAATGACAGCCCTTTTGCTTATTTAGTCGGCATGTCACGGCGCGCCGGAGTGGGGAGTCTCCGAGTCAGCCACGGCCTCCCAGAGTGCGAATCACGGTGCCACGATGACGACTCTAGCACCGCTTGCTGCTTGGCGGTGCCTAAAAGTAATATCCCGCGTAGACCATCTTCGGCTGACCGGCCTGGCCGCCCTGTAAACTGGAGATTGCGTCGTAACGGAGCGTCTTGATGGCGCGCCATGCATCTTAAGCATTTACAGGTAAGCGCCGCGCGTGTAAATGGACATCTTGGATATGTCGGCTCTTTACTCCGTCTGATTACGGCTGCACTACTAAGTAGGTATATGAGGTATTAGTAGAGAAGGAGAAAAGAAGAAATCGGCGTCCAGAAAACTTCCATCACTCCACCTCCTCTATCCTTGGTCGCGGCCGTCCAGCAGCGTCCACCAGGGTGCCTTCAGGATTCACATGCAATCCCGCTAATCTCGCCAAGCCAGGCGCGGCGTTCGCCTCTGCGTGACTCGGTAGCAGACTTGCCATGCCCCAGTTCTCAAGGCTCTCTACAACGTCGCGTGCGTGTTGTTGTACCAACCCATCGTTATCTGTTGCGGCAATGTAGTTTAGAGTCCTCTGTATGTCCTCTCGGCTCTGATCTGTCAAGCCGAATCCCAGTTTTTGTCCGGATTCCTTGGCCTTGTCCAGGGCTCTCACAAAGCTGAGAATGACGAGAATAGCTGCCCGCCGCAGTATACCCTTCTCCAGCTCCGGCTCCATGGCGAGGATATTAATGCTGAGGTCGACTCCTGCCGAGACCAAAGTCGGCCCCATGCCAAGAATGTTCGTCTCAATGGCATTTCCAAAGATGGATAGAGCCGATGTTCTCATTCGAATGTCTTCGCTCCCCCTTTTGCTTTCCCATCCTTGGACAATTTGGGCCAATATCTCATTCTTGGCCATCTCATCAGGTGTTGCCTCTTCGTCCGCCATATCAATATCCTCATCGGCATTCCCACTAGCTTCTGCTTTTTTTCTCTTAAGCTCGTTCAACCTTTCCTCCCGTGCCTGTTTTGCCATTGTTTTCGGCCTGTATCCCCTTCTGCCCGCAATCGAGAGCATACTCTCGCCCGCATTCTGGGCTGCCTCCCCGGTAAACGTTTCTCCCAGTCTCTCAATAACCTGGAGTATTGCCTCGCCAAATCTTAGCCGAGTATCTGTAGATGACTTTTCTTGCGCGTCCAAGTAATGGTCAAGCAGCTCTTGCATGGTGGATTTGGGGTGTTTATTCGCTAGCTGCGTGAATATCCGGATGACTCGTAGGTTGATAAAGTCTTCGTTCTCTTTTAGGAGATTAGACATTAGGACTGTGACGGCCGAAATATCCAACACTGGGCTTTCGGCCACAATCAAGTTAGATAAGAGGTTCAAGCCCTCGGATACTACTGGTGGTGGGTTATCGCTATCTCCAGTAATGTAGTTCATCGCCAGGTTGTAAGTCTTGCGATCTTCGATCTGACGAGCAGTAGGGGCAGCGGTTTTATCATCTGGCTTTTCCACCTCATCCCGGTATTTGAGCAGCAGAGCCAGATTCTTCGCCGTGATCGAGGCATCACCTCGATCCTGGTCCCCAATCCTCGCCAGTGCACCTTCCACAACCTTTAGCTCAGCTGGGTTAATATCCGACTTCTGAAAGGTCGGTGCTGTAATGACCAAGTTGAGTAGGCTGAGTACGACTCCGATGATATCATCTCCTAAGGGAGTCTGGCTATCAGCTCGTAGCACATGAGATACGAGCTCCAGAAGTTGATCGAAATGGCTGATTAGTTTTTCTGGAGCCTTGTCCATGAATTTTTGTAATAACGTTACGTCAATAAGGGCCTCGACTGCCGAGTCTGCTTCTTCATCGTGAGTGACTACCTGTATAATCAGATCACCACTTTGTTTGCCTGCCGACTGTATCCATCGCCGTAAGAGATACAGAAAGACTGAAGAGACTTCCTCTGTGGTACACACAGAGCTCACAAACTCGACCAAATCCGTCGACTTGCTCTCGATTTCCCCCCAGTTTAATTCAGCCTCTTGCTTCTGTTCGCCGAACGCTAGGTGGATGGCTTCTATTCCTCCTTCAGGCTGAAGGTGGTATCGCCATTGCAATTCTTCTGCACCATGCAGGGATCCTATGCATCGAATATTACGGATAAACGGGATGATATTATCCACGTCACCGAACAGTCTCAGGTGGGTCTGCACAAGAATCCGCGCAGGCCTGCAGAAGCGCTTGTCAATATCTTGAGAGGCGTTCATCCATGAAGCAAGCGCCCAAAGTTGAAAACGAACGGGCTTTAGAATTCGTTTGCAAAGACCAGGTGAAGGATTTGACATGATCAAAAGCTCTAGCCGGCTTAGCGATCTCTCCAGATCTGAGGCGGTAACAAGGATTTTTGTTCGACCAAGCTCCACGATTTCATCAACCTCTTCTGACTTGAAAGAAGAGTCCGGTTTTGAGGATTTCAGTGATGGGTCTATGCCCTCCACTAGAGGTTGCACAAAAGCGTTCCAACCAGGGGCTCCTGTTTACTTAGGTTAGTATCTGAACGGACACGGGGAATAAATGTCGTTGTTTTGGGTAAATTCTCGCTTCGTTACCTGGTGCTCCAAATTGCTTTTTACCCAGGATACCAAATCCGACAATCTGCGCTGCAGTCTTTGCAACATCAGGCCCAGCCTCGCCATCGAATAAAGCGAAAAGCTGCCCCGAGATGCCGTCGAACCATTGCTGGGCATTCGTGGAGGCTGGGACAGATGACAGCAGCTTCGTTGCAATAGCAACAGCTTCATGGGTGATGGCAGCCCCTTCTTTTCCGCGGCTACCCCCATCATTCGTCGGTCTTCCAGTATTACTTGGGTGAACGGCAAATACAAATTCCATCGTAGCTCTAACACCGTCGGACCGCAGTGGCAGGCTCGTCAAGCTCCTCATCAACGGCTCCCTTAGCCATAGCGGAAGCACATTTGGCTTAATCAAGGCATTGAAAGCGTGTATCAAGATCCATGTTTGAGTTCTGATTGCATGTCAGGGTTTTCGCTGTTGGCTGCTTCTCTGAAGGAGCCTCACCTACCTATCAACTAGCTCATTATACTCGTGCAATCCTTGCTCGCGGCTTTCAGCAGTTGCCGATGGATTGAATGCTTTTTTGGCCGCATCAACAATATCCTGGGTGATTTTCGGCTGTGACTGTTGAGCATTCATCGAGTCTGTCGTAGTAGCTAGACTCCCTGTTTGGGCTTTACAGACGTTGAGTGTATCAAACCGAACACCCCGGGCAAGCTTCTCTTACAAATGAGCTGCTGGGCATTGCCTTCTCACATCATACACTGTGCTTCTGCACTGTGCACATACCGTCAATGTTCCAAGCTGTTCGGTGGTGATCACGTGTCGGCGCGTCCCGATCGTGGCCCGTGCGTCAAGCTCTTTCAAGATAGAGCTTCTCCACGCGTTTCTCAATGTTTACTAGCATATGAACCATCGTCAACGCCATTTCAGATACGCCAGTTCCTCGATTTGCTGCTGGAGAGGCTACTATTATCCAAATATCACGTCCCCTTGAGCACGTACTGCCTCTTGGATTTCTTCTTGTATCTCATGATCGAGCCTCCTTCGCTGCCATAAAAATGCAGCGCTCTTCATCAGCACGTCGCCTCCCCCACAGTTTCCCGACTCTCGTTTTCCGCAAGGAATGTCTACTGCAGGCCCCCCTCCCCAGACTTGGTCATCCGCAATATGCCGCTTCCAAACCTGCTCCAGGATCTTGTTGAATGCTGCAGCTGGATCTATTGCGGCCCGTCTCTGCCCGGCACCCAGGCAGCCAAGTCGAGCTGGGGGAACGAGCTTCGGAACTTAACCCTAAGCATACATCTGGTTTAGTGTTGCGCTCAGTCGTCCAATCCCCTTTCTAAGTCGATCGCGTTTCTTGGTGCTGTTCCTGTCGAAAGATAGGCACGACGGCTGACGTGGAAACCAAGTGTCGATGGACTAGGGGAGCGAACATCCAGTCACTACATAGTGCGCAAGAGGAAGGATGCCATGAGTCGTTTTGGTAAGATCCTCTGGTCTGAGGACGCTCGTCAGCCCTGTCCGCTGGAATTAGCACTATGGTCAAGAATAGGCTGTCCTTGAGATGCCGTTGGCATTGATGGGTAGATTGATTGTCTGTTGTCTGTTGGGATCTGCGCTGGTGGCCTAATCACCGCCAATGCAAGGTCTACGGCATGGAGCTTGAGCATAGAATGGGCTTCAAACAGCCAGAAGTCGCATTTCGCAAACTGCATTTCATCCCTATGGGACCTTGCTGGAAGCCTGCTTTATATCAGTGCTGCGAGGGCCGTACGGAAATACACAGAAATGCAACGACTTCTGACCAACCCAAAGCAATTCTACGCTGCTCTCGGATGCTCTTATATGCCCGCCCTCTTTTGGGATTTGAATCAACATTAGTATCAGCATTATGATCTCTGCCTGTCAGCCCCTTTGCTCCGTGGACCACACCACAGCACCCTGCTCCCGGTGTGTGATGCAGCTGCATCTAGTCTGACCAAGCGCATTAACCTTCAATCGTTGGCTTTGTCCCTCGATTTCGCAAGGACGCCAGTCCCCAACTGGGCTATTGCCCAGTAGCTTCCTCGCAGATCTTGCTACAAGTCTGCCGAGATGATAACGCGGTTTTTACGGATGTGTTTTGTCCGCGTGTTAACGCCCTCCTGACTTTCAACGTTTTGGGGAGGAAACAAAAACAAGTCTCCGTTGGCAGTGCGAGACAAACAGAAGGAGGGTCACTCGACTACACCAAGAATATTTAGGTTGCACTACGCGACTTGGACTTTGGACTAGGTGAGCTCGAAGAAGGCAGCAGGCCCATTATGGAAATGACTGGAGGCAAAGTCCGGAAATCGGTCCATTTTCGGACACCACTGATGCGACTCGGTGTCGATTCTGGCATGGAGCTGGGACCCATCTCGTGTTGGAGTCAAAGTTTAGTGCTTGTCCAGTTCCTTGACCAAAGTCGCCTGCTTTGAGTTGGATCCGCGGACAGTCTTCATCTGGCTCGGCTCATTGACATGTGCTCTATACAACTATTGGCTTATAAGGACACACCGTGGATGTGGGAGGCAGTCCTGGTTGCCCTCTTCCCAGAAATGGCTGGAGGGCAACCCCCCGCTAATGAGGGGATAAGTAACCCCTGTTTCTGTGACTATGAGACTTGTCGCTAACAAAGTTGTGCAGGTGAAGCTAAAGTCATCTAGGGAAGCTGATACAACTCTGTCGTCATGCCGGAGACTCACCGCTGGTTGAAACGTTCATGTATGGCTGGTTGTAAAAGAGGTGGTATCAAGCCAAGATATACAGAATGCCGATTTGCAGACGGCATCTCCGGATTTGCAAGCTATATGTAAGCCATTAAGCACTAGCTGCCTTCGTTACTATCAATAGGCGGCACTGTCATTAGCCCATCCGACGCACCCCTGATAGCTCATCTGTTTGATAAAACTTTTCGTAGATGTATATCCTGACCAAACTTGAAATCATACTTTGTTGATCTGTAGACTAGACAATTCCCCGAATGGAGCAGCTGGTAACACGGCTAAAGTCGCAGGCATTATTGCCCTACAACTCTATTCCCTGGCACAGCATTGCGCGTCAAACTTGGCGATGCCATATAAGATTTACGAAGCAGAGTAGCAACAGCTTTATCAGTACTAGGTATGGGGGCTGATGCAACATAAAAATGAGAAATATTCTTGAATACTACTGTATTGGGCGATGGAGCCGCTGCGGCCCGTTGGCATCACCGGTGGGGTCAGACTGGCCGAGAAAAGACGTTTCGGGCATATCGTACCTGGCGGCAACGCATGCACAGTATGTAGCAGCAGCGGCGCTACTGCAACTACTTACTGCTTGCAGGCAGGCTGCAGAATTTTGTTCGACATTAATCAGCCGAGAAGCCCTCCAAAGAGGAAGTTGAAGAACATACTATCAAGCTTCGATTTGAGCGGATTCTCACAGCGGCACTAGCTCCAACGGCTTTGGCCGCGTTGATCAGCCCCACAGAATGCGAGAAAAATTATTCGCCGCTCCTCAAAACAAGGACGTATGGCGATGCGATGCAGGATAACAATGCAGGGGAGGCGGAGGAGCAGCCCTGGCTGGTGTCGCAAGAAGCATGAAACAATCAATACAGGGCCTAGAGCTCGGAGAAGGTCTCCTGGAGCGGCCAATTTGCGTCGGGCAAGCAGGTCGGTCGGCTGAGTGGTTCACCCGGAGAGTTGGCCTGGCCGCCGAGAATGGGCTGAGCTGAGTCGGGCGAGATGTAGGTGTAATTTGAAATGGCTTGGGCTGATGTCGGTGTGCCTGGCCATTCATCTGGTGTTATCGAATAAGCCTGGACGGAAGGGCTGGGGGTTCTAGAAAGCGCTGCGCTGCGGTGAGGTGATGTAATGTGATGGCATGGTGGTGGTGGCTTTTGAGTGCTTGATGTTCGGGTGAGATTGCCTACCTTGTCTAATACAGCGCGGTAGATGCCAGTGCATACTGTATGAAGATCAGTTGGCAGGCTGGCTAGCAGGACCAATGGGCACCGCTTGAAAGCTGCCCTGCCATTCTTTAACATCAATGCCAAACATCTCGCTAGTACCCAGGTAGTGTAGTTGTCCGATCAGTCGTATCGCGACCGACAGCAAGCAGGCCTTCTCCATCTCCCTAGTAATGAGGCAGGATTGGGAAGCTCTCTCATGGCCCTTGGAAGAGAAGGGCACCTCAGTGAAATATGATAGGTATCGTGCCTTAGCATTTCCAGGCAATACTAGATGCCTGGCCAGGGACGGGGGCTACATGAGGGCGTCATCATGCTTCACGCCTGGGTTGGGTCAGGTAGGTGCAGGTATGCAGTACCACAGCAGCCTTTGCTCAAAAGGTATTGGGGACCGCCTCAAAAGTACCCCAAAACGTGGATTTGGAGGACTAGAGCACCATTAATTAGGTAGGTAGGTGTTTTGCGGTTAGGGTGCGAGGTGAGATTATCGGCCAGATGCTGTACTGACCTCGAGGTACTTTGCGCGGAGTAGCATATACGGAACAGGCCGCGAGGCACGGAGTATCCATAGACACCTCGGCCGAGTGGAAAGTGGGCCTTCTAGAACGGCAGGCATGACTTGCATCTCCGGCCAAGGCGCAAGAAGCACCTAAAAGACAACAAGTCTATCGGCTCCACCTGGCGCACAACGTTCGTCTTGCAACTCTCAGCTTGGACGAGCACACGATACGAGACGAGGTTGGCTGCTGCTCACTCGCGAGCCAAAGAACTAGCAGCACTAGGCTAACGGCAACGCAGCCGACTCGCCAGCCACGAGCCCACAGCTAACGGGAAACGGGAAAAGGGATCGCTCCCCTCGACGGCCACTGCGCAAGAGGCTAGCATGAAGGGCCGATCCTGTTTGAGACTCTGGGATGGACGATTAATCGCTGCCTGCTTGCAGGTACACAGCCGAGCCGTTCTCTGGGACGCGCAGCTCCTTTCAGAGCAGAATCTCACTGCATCAAAGCTATTCTATTCGCAATCGATCTAAGCCCAGTAACGACAGCTCGGGGTAACGACAAAACAGATGCCGAGACAGCGCCTTGCAAACTCTGTTCCCCATGAAAGAAAACAAATAAACAAACAAACAAACAAAAAAGACAAAAACACACTTTTCCACCCCGAGGTTACATAATCTTGCCCGAGAACAAAAAGTCCCCAAATCCCTTGCCAGTTTCCAATCCCTTGTTTTCCGCCCTTTGAGAGGCAAGGTAGTCCAGTCTCTGGGCATCAGGCCATCTAATGCAGCAGCCAAGCTCTGCTGCAACAGGGTAGTGCAAATTTTTTTTTCTCGCCTTTTCCCTTCTTCTTCTCATCCGATTCTCCTTCTCTTTTGAACCAACGCCGAAGTTTTTTTTTTTTCTCAACCGTTGAGCCTAGCCTAGCCCAATCCCTTACCATATACTTTTCCAAACGAATGTGTGAGGGCAGCCATTTCAGAATCCGTGAGACCATGACACTCGTCGTGGAGGGGAGTCTGGCACAGGCCATGTCTGCATCTCCTACCTTCGTATTTGCAGCATCTGATAGAGCTGCTTCAGAGATCTGAAGTGACCCCTACCCCATCGTTAGCCCTTGAAATAAAATAAAAGCGGGCCTGAACATCTTGGAGCCGTCTTCTTACCAGAGTCAAATACATTTGTTACCACTAGAGCCACTGCCAGAGGACTTTCGGTCGATGCGAAAATGGCATGGCATTGCCCATCATTGGCAGCGCCTCCGGTGGCTCACCATCATCCACAATGCCGTTGACTTTATCGCGGAGGGCCCAGCTTTCTCCAGAGGCACTTGGTGCAACGAGTTCTGCAATTGTGTATTGTAGGATGCCGTCTCGGACACGAGGTGTGACAATTTCTCGGGACGTCATTGATGACGATTGTGACCGTTCACTGGCATCTTTGCCCTCAGCCTTTAGGAGAGAAAAACTCTACATTAGCGCGCCAGGTCTTATTGCACCAAACACTGCTTCAAGGAATATCCACGCTGTTGTTGGACGGCCGCCTCATTGCTTGATATGACTTACAATGCAGGTAGCACATGGCGAATTGTTCACCCACACCCAGTTCGGGCAGTTGTGTGAGTAAAAATTCTTGCAGCGGTATTTGTAAAAGCCGCCGCTGCTACTCATCTTCATTGATGTGACAAGGATAAAGTATGTGTGAAGGAAGGGTAAACTAAAAAAGGGCAGGTCAAGGTTCGCTGACGAGAAAGCAAGACCGCTAGCAAAAATGTTGCGTGGTATAACTTTTCGATTATTGAAAGAAAAGTTGAAAGTGTTGATCAAGATGAATGTGGGAAGAAAAGATTCTTTGACGACTTATATATCGAGATCGCGGACGACCGGCTTCATGAGGTCGACCCCCCGGACTCCTGGATGTACAGCATACCCATATGTCACGGAGTACTGCTTTACATCACCGAAAAATTATTCTCACCCTGCGCTACCCGCTTCCTCCGTATCTTAAAAACACTCTTTCCCTGGGGGGTGTTTGGCCAATGCTGCATTGCAGCCTCTGACCAGGTCTCCCATCCCGCTTGAAAAGACGGTAGCGCGGCCGGGGAGGCCACTGTTCAGGGGTGTCTGGGTCAAAGCCAAGGTCTGGTTCTAAATCCCCAGTCGCTTTACACATAGAAAACACACTAATAGCCGAATCCTTGTTTGCATGCTGCAGAGCACGGGTTGCTCAACGCCAACAAGAACACAGTATGTAACGCTGCCTATCACAGATGGATTTTGATTCCAACCCAAGATGCAACAAGAAGTCATGCCCGGGAAAGGGGTGTACTCAAACTTCATACCTGTCATTTGTGTAAGATATTCCGATAGCTGGCTTCGGACCAGGCAATGACCCTGCGCTGACATGTGAAAAATAGAACAACAAGGGGAAAAAATGGTTAGAGCCAGCGCGCTTTTTGCCATGCTAGCAGAAGCCTAGTAAATCACTACTACTGCTAGCACCTTCTCAGCTGCTGCTACCAAATATCCATGATGGCAACTCTGAGCAAGATTGCTCTATCTTTGATTTTTCTCTCTCTTCGTGTACCGTTGACATGTGTCAGCTCATACTGGGCGGCCGCCATATGGGACCGTCTCATCGACGGCTCGCCGGTCGAAGCGACCCTGAGTATCTAGTCGCATACTCCAGCATTCGGCTATATGTATGTATTATTGCAAATGGAGCAGTTTATACTCCTTCGCTTGTCTCGCCATCGCCCCTTGCATCCTGCAAGTGAGTTGGGTCTGGCTGTATACGCCGCTGGTCGACATGATGGATCTAAGACGTGGCCCACTACGGAGACACATGAAGCTGAAGCCGCCAAGTTAACTCGTCAACTACTTGAGCCTAAATATGAGGGATGTGTGAATCTAACGGGGGACGGGACTGTCCGGCCCGCACACTTAGGCGAGCAGAAGAGGATTTAGGCTTGTTTGTGCAGCTCTAGTCGATGGCGCTGGTCAACATTAGACACTTATTGACGGATCAGCGGTGACCGAACGTCATTCACTCTCTGAGCACACAACACTCAAATATGAGATGTAGAATCTGATGACCAGCCTATATCGAAGGAGTATTCCTCTCAATGCTATTCGAGCGGCTCGTCTCGCTTCTACAGGATACTGACCGACAAAATGTACATTCACTACAGAATCCCGGACGCATCTTGTTGGATTCGAGTCTTTCCCTTTCCCAAAAGTCTCAAGAGGTATCAACACTGTTTGTTCTGAGGCATTGCATGCTTGACGGCCTTCTGTAGAGTAAGTAGACAGCTATCTATCGGTAGTTGCTGCCGCTGCCGCTGCTGTTTACTACTACAGCTAATGGCGACTGGCATTCCTCTAACAGCAAAAATCATCGCTGAGGAAGGGCATCCCTGGTGTATGCGATTACAATACATCCTTGTTTATTTCATATGCAAACGGCATTTCCCCGGCGGTACGTTTATGGAATTTTGCCACGGGCATAAAACACGAGATTGAGGCGTTGCTTCACAGAGTTTGACGCGGCTGCAGCAGTAATGTGCATATTCGGGCTTCCACAAGCGTTGTCGTCTCAATGCTGCATGCGTTCAGAAAAAAAGAGAAGACAAGAGTTGTGATTGTTTGTTTGGCCAAGCATACTCATCCCACACGCTTGTTATGCAGCCTCTCATTGGCTGTACTGCATTCTTTGATTTCTCTATTTGGACTACGAGAGGAGGCTGTGATTGGCGAGTGTTTGGAAGTTCTCTCCTGAGGATTTCCTATAGGCTTTGGCCAATCACAGTGACCGAATTGACTGATGTTTTTTATTTGCTGCTTTCTCATCTGCCGCAGCCGAGCAGTAACAACAACTTGGGATCCGAACAAAGCCTGCATACGCAGACAGCCGCAAAACGCCGGAAATGTGACACGAGTAAGAAGGAAAAGAGTCTCTATACGAAAGTCCCGTCCCAAAATGCCGATGCTCTAATAGGCACTTGCAGCGAGGCATGCCATGGATTGGATTGAGACAAGAGCGCCCCTTAGCACACTGGGTCAAGGAACATCGCTGGTAGACTTCAGTTCGCTGCTACTACCCGGTTCCGCTTGGGCTTGGGTCTCGGTCCGCTCCGTGCAGCAATTGCGGCTATCTGGTCCGGCAAGCTTGTGCTGCTAATTCTGGAATCCTAAGCCGTACGATGGTACCGTTGTAGTTTGACAGGCCACGAGATTTTGACACCACTCAGAGCCCTCCATAGGGTTGTAATGGGGCTTCTAGGGCCATAGGATGTACAGGCCCGGTGGAGCAGTAGCAACGGCCCTGCGTCATTCAATGCCGTTTCAACATTTCGCCATTACTCAACTGTCATAATCTTTTTTGCCGCATTGACCACTTTGAAGTTGACAAGAGAGGGGGAGAAAGGGGCACTTGTACAATACTTGCGAAATACTGGAGTAGGACGGACACTTGCTCCTCGTACCAGCAATCTGAGGAGTCACATACGACTTCCAACTGTTTGGACGCCTTGGGCTGTCGCTCAGCCAAGCTTCCCTGGCCGTAATACTTCATAATATTAAGATGCCCCTCTAGTATCCGGTTGCCGATGCCTAGCCGATATTAAACGCCAATGGGTCAAATAGCTTTCTTATCCGTGCCATTCCATAAGCATTTTCTTATTGGGTCGCTATAACCTTCCTTGCTAACTCATACAGCCTTCTGGCCGGATAGGTGGATCCAGTGAATAATAATAGTAGTACTACTACGGCGGACTGCGGAGAATGTGCATGTACTCCGTGTACAAGGAAACAACGAAACGACGAAGCAATTTTTCTCCCACGCCTGTGCCGATGGCGTTTCAACCGCATGCTAGAAGCATCAGACGGGCTCCTAGAGTCGCGGATAATAACGTCTTTGGGCATGGCGTTTGCGGACTAGTAGTTGCAGAAAGCGAAGTTAAGCAAACAAGTCGGATTCGAGCGCGTGCCACCGACTCTAGCTGAGGCCCAATTGGAATAAGTTCCACGATGCCGGTCGGATGCTGTTTTGTCGCTACCAGCATGTTGCCCACTGTTCGCCAGTGCCATCAGGCAATCCCAATTTCGGCGAGCGATTATTGCGACATGTCCTTCTTATTAAGGAGTGGTATCTGTCTCTCCTCTGGAATCGCCACTGCAATTCCATAAGTCAGCTGTTCAAGGCGAAAAGGGACTCTGCAGAAGGGTGCCTGAGCACGACGAGGTAGCGCCAGATCCAAACCTCCGCGGGTCGATCCCTTGTTCCCGTTTCTGGTTTTGTGACGGCGCTGGCTAGCTGCTTTTGCGGCAATGGCGCACGCCCCTCCACAACCGAATATGGTGCAAGGCATATTACTATCACGTATCTGGCAGTGTCGTTTACAACGACATCTGCGGATAGGCGCAACACTTATACCGACGGGTCAATTTGCATAGTGCATACTAATGTAGCGTGCATGCCAGCCGGATTATGGGTTGTCGTTCCCCGAGCTGATGTTCCTCTCATATATGGCGTTCAGCTTGCAGGAAGGCTGCAGCCCAGCCTGACCGCTGTCAAGCGACCAACCAGTTCGTCTGCCCTTTCACTTGGCTGCATGCTCGTACATTAGCCGATAGTACTAGTATACTCTCCACGACATATTAATCTACTAGAGGGTGCGAAGGATGGTGAGCCATAGATTTGCTTGTGCTCGTACAGATGCCACAGCGCAGCTCCACACGGGTACTGCCGTCGCTAGAGACGTGTGTACGAGCCCACCAACACCACTGACAAGTGTTCGTGCCAGTCTCCGGGAATCCGGGCCGCTTGATAGAAGGATCTGTGTAGTACCTATCCACCTGGGAGGAGCATAAGGCAAAGCCGGCGGTGGGTGGTGGACCAAGGCTTTGTGAAACCATCAAGGCCTTCGGAGTGTGCGTCTAGGAGGCGACATCTCCGGCGCAGACATTTGTTGTCTCGGCGTGGCGCCTTGTTTATGCTCAAAGCTTCTCACCTAAGCGGCCTGCCCTATCTTAACTAGAGTCGTCTATTGGTTGCGGAGGGGATAGAAGAATGCGTCTGAGAACCTATTTGGTACACTATCCACCTCCTCTTGCTTACACACATTCCCCCCGTTTCTTTTCCTATCTTTTGCCCTTTTCAGCTGTGAGGGATGAAGACGAGTACACATGCACCTGGGCAAAAAAGAAGGAGGTGTGCAGTGCAGTGTAGGGAATATCAAGCTATCTCCCAAAACATTCTATATTGCAGCAGCTGAGAATCCTACTCATACGCTGAGCTGTACCAAAAATAAAAAATAAAAAAAGCAAACAAGTCTGCGTCTAGATTCTAACTGGTCCAACAAATAAAGTGACGCCAAAAAGCAAGGCAGCTACTAATGCAATGCCTCCTCACCAGCCCTGACAGAGTAAAAGCCCATTTCTCCCTCCCTCAGCTGAACATTCTAAAAAAGAAACCGAAATTCGTGGCACTTGTGAAGGCGGCAACTGGCTATTTGACAGCTGCGTGCATGTATCGTCTATGTATACTATTTTGTTCTTCTGTGGTAGTAATCTTTCGAGCCAGGGATAGTGGAGCCATTCGAGATTTTTAGACCCCAACTGCCCAGTAAAGGCCTTGGCAGGTCTATTTCGAATCAGCCGCAAGGAAAGATGCATGCATGAGAAGAGGGGCAAAAAGAGAGGGAGCGAGAGAGGCTCTGTCATCAAAGCTGAGCTGGTCTCCATGATGGCACGCGACAAGGTCTGAGCCAATCTTGGCAGTTTGATTATATGCAAGCAGCAAGCGCCATGTCTCAGATAAATGTCATCTTCTTTTTTATTTTTTGCATGCCCGCTCACCGACCAGCCTTTTTCATGGCCTCTTTTCTCCTTTTCTTCTCTGCGGCCCGGACTAATGACCGCCTGATGTCGCCGTCCTCAAAGGTGTCAAGGTTGAAGTATACAGGTGCAATTTCCTATAACAAGTTAGCGTCTCGCCTCACTTTTTATTTTATTTTTTATGCAAAAGGGTGGAGTGTAATGCTTAGAAAACTCACCAATAACCATTCTGGCCGGATGCCTGTGCAAGTGCGGATGTATTGCTTGGAGGTAAGGACGAATTCGTTGTACAGAACCCAGTCGTACTCTGTGCGAAGCACAGTTGAGGGATGAATCATGACGGCCTGCTCGTCCTTCACGGTGCGGTAAACCTTGCCAGAGCTCTCCTTCATGGCGACCTGCATGAAAAAGCCGGCCAGCATGGCCCTCCGGATGTTGGTGTAGTAATTCTTGTCCTCGAATGGCGTCGAGACTAGGTCGAGGCCGTGCGTCTCCATGATCCGCTTCAGTTGGGCACGAACGCTGTCTGCGCTGGAAAGGTGGCGGAAGGACAGGAAGTGCTCGTGGCACCACTGCTTGGCGTAGCTGGGATCCGCAGTCTCCTGACCCTTGAAGGCGTGGTAGGCATTGAGTAGTGTTAGGTGGTCACCGTCGGGGTGAGCGAAGTGTGCCTTCATCTCATCTGCACGCTTACGGCTATTGGCGGGTCGGACAAAGATCTGGGGGACTGACAAGAGGGAAGTGATGGAGAGAATCTCATTCGAGCAATAAAACTCCGGCGAGGAGATGAGCATGACAGCCAAGGCGGGGTCCAGGGGAAACTCGGACGCCAGACTGCCGAGAGTGGTCAGCTCACCGTCATCGTCGAGACAGGCAAGATAGTTGAGCTCTTCCAGGGCACGCATCATGGTCTCTGGGGCGGGAGGGTCCATGAGGTCGAAGTGAACAAGATCCTCAACGCCGAGCTTCTTCAGCTCTAGAACGGTGTTGGCCAAGTTAGATCGCAAAATTTCAGGATAAGTCTGCTCGATGAGCTCCTTCTTAAATGCCTTTTCAGTGTAAAGTCTGAAGCATTTACCAGGCTTTGTACGACCGGCACGACCAGCACGCTGCTGTGCCGAGGCCTTAGAGATGGGCGAAACCAACAGAGACTCGACTCTGATTCGGGGATTGTAAATCTTCTGCTTGCTGAAGCCAGGGTCGACGACGTAGACGATACCGTCAATAGTCAAACTGGTTTCAGCAATGTTGGTTGAAACGATAACTTTTCGGCCAGGTCGTCCTCCCTTCTTCAGCGGGCCGGGTGCCTTGTCAAAGATGCGCTGTTGCTGGTGAGGTGGCAGCGTGCCATATAGAGGATAAACCGCCAGCGGGCCGGCATCCACTTCTCGCGTCAGCTCCTCAGCCTCGAGGCCAATCTTTCGACAGGCATCCTCAATTTCGTCTTCACCTGTGAGGAAAAGGAGGATATCGCCTTCAGGTTCTGATGCGTGGATCTGAAGAACAGTCCTGATTGCAGCCTCGACGTAATCCTTCTCTGGCTCGGGTGTGTAGAAGATTTCGACAGGGTGAGTTCGTCCAGGAACAGCCAGGAGTGGAGCGTCGTTGAAGTACTTTTGAAACTTTTGAGCATCGAGCGTAGCAGACATGATGATGATTTTGAGATCAGGACGCCTCTCAGCAATCTGCTTGAGTAGGGCCATGAGGATATCCGTAGCCAAGGTTCTCTCGTGGGCCTCGTCGAGAATGATGCAGCTATATCGAGACATCTCGTGGTCGTGCATGGCCTCACGTAGAAGCATACCATCCGTCATATACTTCAGCATGGTCTTTTGCGATGTCTTGTCCTCGAAACGGATGCTATAACCGACTTCCTCTCCGAGCGAGACGTCCATCTCGTCGGCTACACGCTGGGCCACCGACATGGCGGCGACTCGACGTGGCTGCGTACAGGCAATAAGCTTGCCATTGAGATGCGGGAGTTCGTCGTATACGACGTACTGGGGGATCTGAGTGGTCTTTCCGGAACCAGTCTCACCGACGAAGACGAGGATCTGGGTCGAGTGGTACTTGTCGAGGAATTCTTGCCTAATGGCGAAAGTAAAAGTGAGCAATTCGCCCATGATAGTATGGGGAAGGGGAGCGAGAGCGATGCGGTGAATCCCACGTGACAACACATACCTTTGCTTGTGGACGGGGAGGTCTCGGCGTGTTTGCAAAATTTGAAAGTACTTTTGCGAATGCTCACGGCCTGTGAACGGGTTCGAGTCCGAATCTTCAGCCTTGGATGCCTGTTGCGCAGTGGTCTCGCGGCGCTTCATGCCGGCCAAAGGCGAATTGGCCGCCGGCTCGCCAGAGCCCCAGCCATTGTTCTCCTCCTCGTACATGTGAGCCAGGTACGGATTAGGCTTTCCGTCGGTCTTGGACTTCTTGTTGGAAGCCTCCTCGTAGTCGGAGCTCGCTCGTTTCACTGCTCTGTCCGCCATGGTGACGATGGTGGGCTGCCGCGCAACGGAAAAAAGATTGGTTGGCGCTGTATCAATATCTGTCAGTCGCGGTTGGTCTAGAAAATTTTGGCGGGACTGGTAGAATTACTCTTATCGATAACGATTAGTCTCTTACGGTGCATCGTATGGTGCTATTTGCACTGTAAGCGTCGAAGTCATTGTTTCCTTCTGGCGTTTACGAAAAAATTGCAAAGGCAGAGTATCAATAGTCTGAATATATTCTGGAACAAACATACTACTATTTAGCATTGTTTTTGAACAAGTATCTTCTATTATTATGAGAAAATACGGCTTTATTCCGACAAGTCATACATTCTTAGGCAGCTGGTCACTAACAGCAGTAGTGAGCATGTGCAGACATTGCGCACTGTAGCGACACTGCCCTGTTTCTCCCACTGAGAAAAGCACTGACAGCAAATAACCTGTTTTGAAATTCAGGTAAGAGGGGGCTGAGCATTGCTGCCCACTCACGAAACGAAGAGAGTCATCTGGCTATCTCCTGTATATTACGGGCCACTTATCGAATATATATATACTTTTTATTGTGTAGATAAAAGCGACTCCAAGACTCTACCTCACCAGCCAGATAGAATCTTCCAGGTGAAGCATCCAGGCTTCCTGCATAACTTTCGTTCAAGAAATGGCAACAGAATCAGATGCCGGCGGCTTTTCGCTCCAGGCAGACTACCGGGAGAATCGGCCCATCTTTACTCTTGGGTACCATGACTCTAAAAGAGAAACACCGCTGTCAGAGCTGCAATATGGATACCTGCTGAATCAAGATGCAAGTGAGCTGATGGTACCGCATGGGCTATTCCTGAATACTAACCGAGTTTCAGTTTTCTGTGGCTACTACGCCCATCACTAACAGTAACTTTAAATCTAGAGTCTTCAAGGTTGTATCGGACCATCTGGCAACTCTCAAGGCAAATGGCGAGAAGGGGACCAGCATCGCTACGGCGAGCCGCGCTGACCCTATCCTTCTTCCCCTCACCCCGGAGGATACCAGCATGTTCCCTTCTCAGGCAGTGAATACTTATGTTGCATACACAAGCCCCTGGATCGACCTTTGCTCAAATGACCCTGTCATTGCCAACATCTCTCGCCAAGTGCTGAACCTGGAAGTAAACTATGCCAGCTGGTGCGGCGTGAAGAGCATCATCATTACTGGACCAGACCGCGATGCGTCCAAGGACGGAGGAAACCAAGGCCTTGCGCAATACTCTAGGGCTATTCAGGAGGTCTTGACTATTGCGCCCTCCATATCTGTTTTGATCCATATTCCCATGTATCGCGAGCCGCTCGCTGGAGCCCAGAACGAGACACTCTCCTCGTTGAATGGACAGGAGGATTCGAAGACTGTTGGAGGCGACATTGATATCTTTACCAGCTGGGATTCCTGGAATCAAATCAGGTCGGTTTGCAAATACAACCCTAGGCTTCTTGTTGGTATGCAGACAACCACTTCTTTCTCGTTCTTTGCTTCTTGCTGACTCTCACCCCCATAGCGTTGAAGGTGCCGAAAGTTATGCCAGAGAAAGATCTGCAAAACCGCTGGTTCTGTGAACCCCTCCACTACTTGACTCTCGGCCCTGAGGTCTTCCAGAAAAACAAGGCAGGCTATCCCAGTCTCACCAGAAATCACCAGGATATGATTTTCGCCTACATGCGCTTGAAGAATGCTCCGTGGCTTCTGCTCTGCGACGTTGGCCCTGATGTGCGACACATTACGGATGGCAAGGATGAAAAGCTGCCTTTGTCAGAGGCTGATTTCCCCAGCTTAGAGGAAGCCAGTAGACCCGCATTTCGCGTGTCTACCGATTCTAACGTCTACTGCGAGTACTTGCGGTGGTTGGAAACGCAACAGGCTCCATTTTCAGTCTTAGAGACTCCTATTCTTACCAACTTCCAAGATTGGCTACAGTCGCCGTTGCAGCCGCTGTCAGACAATCTCGAATCAGCAACCTACGAGGTGTTCGAAAATGATGCCATCAAATACGACCAGTATGAGCTGGCCATAGCTGAGGCCCTGAAAGAATGGAACGAGCTTAACCTCCCCACATCTAAGCCTGGTGTTATCGTAATGGCAGTTGCCGGCTCTGGCCGTGGCCCTATAGTGACCAAAGCTATCCAAGCCGCGGAATCTACTGGTTCCAAAGTGGAAGTCTGGGCTCTTGAAAAGAACCCTAACGCATATGTATACCTCCTCCGGCAAAATGCCCAGAAATGGGGCGGCAAAGTCAATGTCGTTAAGACGGACATGAGAGCATGGAAAGGCCCATTGTTGTCGAATTCACCTGAGACTGGACCAGTTTATGGTAAGATCGATATCCTCATTTCTGAGCTACTCGGCTCCTTTGGCGATAACGAACTTTCTCCCGAATGCTTGGACGGTATTCAGCATGTTCTGGCAAAGCCTCACGGCATCTCCATTCCGCAGTCTTACACAGCGCACCTGAGCCCCATCGCCACACCAAAGCTTTACGCAGATATTTACTCAAGGGCTCAGACGGATGCCACCGCATTCGACACCCCTTGGGTGGTGAGCCTGTTTTCACTGGACTTTGTGGCTCAGAAGGTACCAGGCCACCCGAGATTTCAGGAAGCATGGGAGTTTTCACACCCCATTCCTGAATCCACACTCGATGCTGTTGTAGCGCGACGTTCCGGAGGAGTTGTCGGCGGCACAGGAGGATCCATGGCAGGTGCTGCAGGAGCGAACGACCACAACTCTAGATTCTGCCATTTGACATTTGTTGCTCGAACTCGTGGAGTGACCCATGGATTAGCAGGATATTTTGAATCCACCTTGTATGAGCGGAAGTCAGGCCCGAACAAGGGCAAAAAGTGTGAGATTAGCATTCACCCGGAGCGAATTGACGAGAAGAGCAAAGACATGGTGTCTTGGTTCCCTATCTTCTTCCCACTGAAGGTGAGTTTTGCTCTTCGAATCGGTCATTTGAGAAACGAGCATCTCCTAACATAGGTAATAGCAACCCCTTTACTTCCCTGCGGATACTGAGCTAGAAGTAAGCATGTGGAGGCAGACCGATGACACCAAGGTCTGGTACGAATGGCTCGTGGAGGCGTGGACATGGGTTGGACCCTCTGCACGTGTTAAGGTGGCATCTTCGGATATCTGTAGCAGCCGCAAGATAGCCTGCCTGATGTAGATCACGGCTAGCTAGTCGCTGGGCCGCATAGTTGCGGCATTCTGTAGCCTCAAGATTGCGGCAATCTAGGCCTAGAAAACTGGGCTTGTCTCTGACGGCGGTTAAAAATGTAGCCGATTTACTCGCAAATTCAACGCTGAAAAAAATCCGAAATCGGTCTAGAGCTGCATGCTCGGGAGAATGTTTCCTGCTTATTTGATGGCGAACTTAGGCTCAAGTGCACTGAGACATGCCGGGCGAGTGTTTTTTTGGCAATATGTTGATGCTATCAGCATCATAACGTAGCTTACACGCCTTCCAATGGACCCCGAAGCACCTCCGGGCCTCGCCGCGTTCCACGGCGGGGAAGGCGGTTGACCCGGCACCGGTACCGGCAATCGGGCAATCGCTCAAGCGCAAGCGCCGCATATGTGATATACAAGCACGTACTTGTACCGGGACTCCTTTCCAACCCCTGGTGATTTGTGTCTCTGGAACCGCTCATTGGCGTCTTGCTTTTCTTCCTTTATTCAGCCCCTCGGCCTTGCTGCGTGGAAGTGGGGATAGAAATTCGGCGCGGAGCCATGGCCTCTGTCCGATCGGCTCTTGGGGGGATGCCCCGCAAAACCGCGTTGCTGTCCAGCTATTACCCCTCCATCCCCAGACCCAGGACATATTTATCTTTGTCTTCCTCATTGTCTTCATCTTCGCCTTGTTCAAGCACCGAGTCTCTCGCATCTACCCGCAGACCCCGCCAAGTTTCAGCCCAGAGGCGCCAACTAGCCGCAATGTCAACACAAGCTTCACACCCAGCACTGCTCATCCCTGGGCCCATTGAATTCGATGATGCCGTCCTCCAGTCAATGAGCCACTTCAGGTAAATGTCACCGTTTCTTGGCCCGAGTTTACTGCATGCTAATTGGGATAATAGCGAAAGCCATGTCGGCCCTGCCTTCGTGAACACCTTCGGCGAGACCTTGAGCCTGCTTCGCCCGCTCTTCCAGACCACCAACCCTGCTTCCCAGCCTTTCGTCATCAGCGGCTCCGGTACATTGGGCTGGGACTTGGTAGCTGCCAATTTGATCGAGGCCGGTGAGGATGCCTTGGTGTTGAGTACCGGCTACTTTGGTGACAGCTTCGCCGACTGCTTGACTACGTATGGGGCCAAGCCTACCAAGCTGGAGGGGCCAGTTGGCGGACGACCCCAGGTGCCGGAAATCGAGAAGGCCCTTTCGGAGAAGAAGTATAAGATTGTTACCGTCACCCATGTCGACACTTCCACCGGCGTTGTCAGCGACCTCAAGAGCATTGTCCAGGCTGTGAGAAAGGTTTCTCCGGAGACGTTGGTTATCGTGGACGGTGTTTGCAGTGTTGCTTGCGAAGAAATTGCATTTGATGACTGGGATCTGGACGGTGTTATCACGGCTCCTCAGAAGGCTATTGGCTGCCCTGCCGGCTTGTCGATTTCGATGTTCAGCGGACGCGCGATGGAGGTCTTTAAGAACAGAAAGACTCCTCCAGGATCTTATTTTGCTTCGTTCAAGAACTGGACACCCAGTATGTAACCCAGATTCATATCCATTGCAAATTTCAGCCGATGCTAATGTTGAATCTTCTTCTAGTTATGCAAAACTACGAGGCTAAGAAGCCCTCATACTTTGCCACCCCATCACCGCAGCTTGTACACGCTCTAAATACTGCCTTGAAGCAAATTCTAGCCCGTCCATTGTCGGAACGCTTTCAGAGGCACAAGGAAGTGTCTAACAAGGTAAAGAAGGCGGTTGCCGACCTTGGCTTGAAAATTGTTGCAACCAAGCCCGAAGATCAGTCTTCAGCCATGACGGCCATTTATTTGCCCGATGGCGTTCAGATTGCAAATGTTCTGCCTAAGCTGGCCAGCAAGGGCGTCATTTTCGCAGGTGGCCTGCACAAGGAGATTGCGACCAAGTACATTCGGTTTGGACACATGGGTGTCTCAGTTGTAAGTGACTCTAGCTTATTCGCTTGACGATGATGAGACGATGATCATAAAAGTGCTGACAATTTCACACTATAGACGGACCCAACGCGGACGGATATCGACAATGCTCTTGAAGCCCTGAAGACCAGCTTGGCGGAGTGTGGATATACAGCCAAGGCTTAGGATGCTGGAGGGCGGTGGCGCTGGAATTTATAATGGAGGGATGGACGGGATGTTTCAAAAGCTAAAGCATAAGAAGTAAGTATGGAGGATGGACGAAAACTACAGTCTAAAAGGATGAGTGGCGTTGGTGGTGTTCCTAGACGAGATAGGAGTGCTAGCTATTTTGCAAATCATAAGGTTATGACACCCTTAGCCAAACAAGCGCGTTCTCATTAATAATACGCGACTTCACTTCCTTTGTATATGCGAGGTGAACCTGATGCTCATGCCTGCTTCTGGGCTCCTCACTTCAGAATTAGGCGCCCAGTTATCTATGAACTACCTAAGCTCGGCGAATGAAGTCACTTGCCTGCGGCAGCGCTTGTTCACCTAGACTTTGGGCTTGCGCCTCGCATTGAATCAGGTGGGGGGAGCATTGAGGTTGGAAGACAAGGCTGTCATATCACATCACACAGTAAAGTACTGCTACATGACCTCGGATGGTAACGTCATGATAGCGCTAAGTCCGGCCTAGCGATAGCGATTGCGTAGCAAGGATTGGTTGCCCAGGGCGGCTCGATGCAATATCTCCGGCCAGCAACGTAGGTACCTGTTACCATGGCCTTAGAGGCGAGCTGAAGCTGAAGTTGGGTTGGGCGGTTAAAATCAATCAAAGGAAGAGCGAGGAGTGGCCAGGACGGGCTGACAAAACAGCGATGGAGGGATTAGACCAGCGCAGCGTTCAGCCCCGCCATGCTTGCTGCCGACATTGGTGTCTTGGACTCAGGCATCGACTTGCTGTAGCTCGCTGCTGTAGGCGCTGTGCGACTGTGCGGCCCTGCTGACAATTACTGCTCCAGCCAGCTTCCAGGCATCGAACCGCCTGAAAGCCTCCGCCCTCTCCACTGCAGCAACCACGCGGCTCTAGCTCATTTCCCGCTCCAGCAAGCAGCGAAAAAAAAGGCTCCGCTGCTACTTGTTTTCTTTAACCTCGTCTCCCCACCGCGCCGCCCGCCTTTTCACTCTCCCTCACTTCCTTGCATTTTTCTTTTCTTCCACGACCCGCGCGCTCTTCTTTTTCGCTGTTGCCCGAGTTTCTCCTTCTCCTTCGCCTCCAAGAGATCGCAGAGAGAAACTCCCGACATACGCCACCGACGCACCGCACAGCCGCCACTTTGTGCGCTGCGTCGTCGACCGGATTTCGATTTGGTGATCTCGATTCCCTCCCCCGCCTTAGAAACAGCCCCCCCTCGCTCGCTGGTCTGCCCACCATGCCTACCATTGAGGAGCTCGACAGCACGGTCCGGGCCTTTTACGAAGGTCGCGGCGAGCAGGTACGCTCACCTGGCTTGTTGGAATTTCTTCTTATGGCAGGACTGTATTGAAGCTGACCCTTTCTTTTCGTGTTTGCTCCATGTATAGCAAAAAGCAGCTCAAGCCGCCTTGAACCAGGTAAATCCTCCTCCGCGTCTTCGTCTTCTCCACGGCAACCGATCTCTGTGCTATGGCACCAGGCCGCAAGCCAGAACAATCTTGCTAATTATTTTGTCAACTGCAGTTCAAGGAAGATCCCGATGCCTGGCTCATGGTCGACAAGATTCTATCCGACGCGCAGTATCCCCAGACGAAGTGTACGTGACCCCTCCTCTGCCTCTCCTCTACCCACCCACGTTCATGGCGTAACTACCAATCCAAGCTAGCTTTGGCGGCACAAAATCCTTTTTCCCCTTCCTTTTGCTAACGTTTTTGGACCGAAAAAAAGACCTGGGTTTACAAGTTCTCGACAATGTTATTATGACAAGATGGAAAGTTTTGCCTCGGGAGCAGTGCCAAGGTAAGCCTCTTGCTGCAAGCTGCTAGTCACGCAGCTGGCGTTGCTAATATCTTGGCTTCACTATATTTAGGTATTCGAAACTTCATCGTCCAGTTCATTATCCAGTGCTCCAATAGCGAAGAGACTCTGCGGGCCCAAAAGACCCTCCTGAACAAGCTCAATCTCGTGCTTGTCTCGATCCTTAAGCAAGAATGGCCACACAACTGGCCTACGTTCATCAACGAAATCATTTCTTCTTGCCATTCCAGCCTTTCGATCTGCGAGAACAACATGATCATTCTGCGCTTGCTGTCCGAAGAGGTGTTCGATTACTCAGCGGAGCAAATGACATCCACCAAGACGAGGAACCTGAAGCAGACCATGTGTGCTGAGTTCTCTCAGATTTTCACGCTCTGCCAAGAGGTTCTCAACTCTGCCAACCAGCCAAGCCTCATCAAGGCCACACTCGAGACGTTGCTCCGCTTCTGCAACTGGATCCCTCTGGGCTACATCTTCGAAACACCCCTTATCGACACTTTACGAACCCGATTCCTGTCCGTCCCGGAGTTTCGAAACGTCACGCTTCAGTGCCTCACAGAGATTGGTGGTCTTCAGACCGGTGGGCCTGGACAACCCAACTCATACGACGAACAGCTGGTTAAGATGTTTACTGAGGTTCTGACTACAATTGCTGACATTATCCCGGTCTCGCTCGACCTCAAGGCTACCTACCCGAGTAGCAACTCCAAGGACCAAGAATTTGTCCAGAATCTTGCTCTATTCCTTTGCAACTTTTTCGGCATGCATCTTAATGTAAGATTTTTTTGACTCTCCATCTAGCCCTACTTCTTGACGCGCTTTTTTACTAATTACTCTTTGATAGCTTATTGAAAACCTTCCCAATAGAGATTACCTTATTCACGGCCATTACTATCTTGTTAGAATATCGCAAATCGACGACCGAGAAGTTTTCAAGATCTGCCTGGACTACTGGTTGAAGCTTGTCCAAGAGCTTTACGAGGAGATGCAGCAGCTTCCCATTACCGATCTCAATCCTTTACTCGCTGTGGGAGGTGGCATGTCTGGAAGCGGAGCTCCGAACCCGAGTCTTTTGATGAATTACCCTCTCCGAAAGCACAAATACAACGAAGTCCTCTCCAACCTGCGAGTTGTCATGATCGAGAAGATGGTTCGTCCTGAGGAAGTCTTGATTGTGGAAAACGACGAGGGAGAAATTGTTCGCGAGTTTGTCAAGGAGGGTGATACTGTGCAGCTCTACAAGACCATCAGAGAATGCTTGGTTTACCTTACACATCTGGACGTGGTTGATACCGAGAACATCATGACTGAGAAGTTGGCCCGCCAAGTAGACGGTTCCGAATGGTCATGGCACAACTGCAACGTCCTTTGCTGGGCCATCGGCTCCATCTCCCTCGCCATGAATGAAGAGACAGAGAAGCGATTCCTTGTCACGGTTATTAAGGATCTTCTAGGCCTTACCGAAATGAAGCGGGGCAAAGATAATAAAGCTGTCGTCGCCAGTAACATCATGTATATTGTTGGACAGTATCCCCGTTTCCTCAAGGCTCACTGGAAATTCCTTAAGACGGTTGTCAACAAGCTCTTTGAGTTCATGCACGAGTCACACGAAGGTATGTATCCCCCTTAACGACTTCGTCTCGCTACCACGTGCTTACCCAATGAGCAGGTGTTCAGGATATGGCTTGCGATACATTCATTAAGATTGCTAGGCAATGCCGACGACACTTCGTCGCACTTCAGCCCAGTGAGACGGAGCCCTTTATTGAAGAGATTGTACGAAATATGGGCAAGATTACCTGCGATCTTACCCCCCAGCAAGTCCATACATTCTATGAGGCCTGCGGATACATGGTTGCTGCTCAAGGCAACAAGAATCAGCAGGAGAGGCTCTTGGCTGAACTAATGAACATTCCCAATGCTGCTTGGAGCGAAATCATTAAGCAGGCCAACATGAATTCTGCGATTTTGCAAGATGCTGAGACCATCAAGGTTATCGGAAACATCATGAAGACCAACGTTTCGGCATGCTCTTCCACCGGCTCTTACTTTTACCCACAGATTGGTCGAATCTATCACGACATGCTGCAGATGTACCGTGCCACAAGCTCGTTGATCTCAGAGGCCGTCGCGCGAGATGGTATGTTTCCAATGTTTCCTCTCTACTTACTTTCTATCCAACGCTCTTCTCCTTCCCCTTATGAATCAATTGGGCACTGACATGTATTATAGGTGACCTGGCCACCAAGATGCCCAAGGTTCGCGGTCTGCGTACGATCAAGAAGGAGATTCTCAAGTTGATTGAGACTTATGTTGAGAAGGCCGAAGATCTTCAGGCTGTCCGAGCTCAGATGGTGCCCCCCTTGTTGGATTCAGTCCTTGTCGACTACAACCGAAATGTGCCAGGAGCCCGTGACGCAGAAGTTTTGAAAGCCATGTCAACCATTATTACGAAGCTTGCTGTATGTGATCACATTGTTATGAACTCTACTTTTTTTTAATGTAAACTAACGTTGCAACAGGCGTTGATGGAAGATCAAGTTCCTACAATCATGGAAAATGTCTTTGAGTGCACTCTGGAGATGATCAACAAGGACTTTTCAGAATTCCCGGAGCATCGTGTCGAGTTCTTCAACTTGTTGCGAGCTATCAACCTGCACTGTTTCCCAGGTAAGTCGAGGACGCGTTCACAATACGAGGATATTGAATAAACAGAAACTGACTGGTAATATAGCTCTACTCAAACTTGACAACAACCAGTTCAAGTTTGTAATCGACTCTTGCTCATGGGCCTTCAAGCACGACAACAGAGACGTCGAAGCTGCCGGTCTTAACATGTGCTTGGAGCTGATCACCAACATTGCTGAAAAGACGGATCCTAATACCGCCAATGCCTTCTTCCAGCGCTTTTTTGTTACTATCCTGCAGGATGTGCTCTTCGTTGTGACGGACAGCGACCACAAGGCGGGTTTCAAGACGCAGTCTATGCTGCTGATGAAACTCTTCTACTTCATCCACCCGGCTGATGGCACACCACCGAAGATTCAAGGACCCATCTACACACCGGACCAGGCCCAGGCTGGAACTGGCAACCGAGAGTACCTGTCTGCCTCTGTTGCTACTCTATTACAGAATGCATTCCCTAACCTTCAAGCGTAAGTCATGATCCTTTCTTTCTAACTCAACTTGATGCTTACAACTACATATAGGGCCCAAATCGCCAGCTTCGTCGAGGGACTGTTCACACTGAACACACAGTATGACAAGTTCCGACTCAACCTCCGTGACTTTTTAATTTCTCTGAAAGAGTTCGCGGGAGATAACGCCG